GCCACCTCAGCCCGGGCGGCCCCCGACAGCAACACCGTCAGGGTGGGCTCACCCGAGGCATGGGAACACCAAGTCCCACTACCAGACACCCTCAGCCTGCAGTTCTTATATATGAGAACAGTCCTGGCATGCTCTGTGAGCTCAGAAGTGACCCCAGTGTACTTCACAAGAGAGCGCTGCCTCAGCACGCCCTTCTGAGAAGTACAGGAAACACCGAACTTAATGCTAAATAATATTTTAAAAATATGAAACAACTTATTTCATGATTAGGGTGACTTCTGCTAAATTGCAGAATAAGCCTGGACGTGGATCCTCTGCTCCAGCAGCGCAGGGGTCTTTGCAGAAGGTTCAAACAGCAGAGCGCAGCGACGGGAGCAGGAAAACGTCCCGCTTTCAGGGTGTGCGACTCGGCCAGGTTACGAGCCGTACAGGAATCCTTGGCACACAGACTGTTCTAGGGCGTGCAGTGCAGCGTGTTTTCTGACCTCGCCACAACACGGCTCGCTAACTCACTCCTGCAGGGAGCGACACATCTTTTCTGCCCAAAGGAATGCCAGCTCCCAGCGCTGAAACTGGCAGAACCAACCCCAAACCGAAACCTCCCCCCAGAGCAGCACCTGTGAAACCGCACGGGCCAATTTACTCCACGTCACTAGAGCTGCTTCTCAGCAAAACCCTTTTACAGGAACAGGAACACAATCACAACGCGCAGCCCGTGAATCACCGGGCAGCGGGCGACTGGAAGACAACTTACAAGAAGTTTCAGTGCTGAGAGATGGGGCTATGATCGATGGTGGGGCATTGACTCCATGTGCACATTGAGCTTCATCTCGTTATCGAGGATTTGTACAAGCTGCTGCATGGAAGGGAGGTGGCCAGACTCCAGCTTAGACCACACCGGAACATCTACCACGGAACACAGGGAGGGGAGGAAAGCACAGTTACACTGGTGAAGTCAGGAGACATGCAGGGCTAGTTTGGGATTTAAAAGATCCAGGAAGCGACGCAAGTCGGTGCCATTTCCCACTGAGGAAAACACCTGGACCAGCGATGCTTCAGCTGCTATTACTAAACCCCAGCCCAACGAGAACAAGGAGTCTAATGCTTCCACTTAGAAGTACATCATACGGGTTTAGAGGTTCACAATATCCACTGACAGAACGTCTAAAAACAGATTAAGGAGCGGCAGAACGGCACACTGAGTTTTTAAACCATGGCTCAATGTTTGAAATCGTGGCTCTCAGTCTTCCTCTCACTCCACCTAACACCTCAGGCTGACCCTCACCAGTTCTGCTCACCAAGATCTGGGGTGGAAGCTTCCACTTGAAGTAGCTGCAACCATTACTCCTCTTCCCCCAGAAATCAAAAAGGCAGCACAGCCCATCCGTACTTCAGGGCAAACACAACCTTCACCCCTGATGTTGACAAACACTCCCTCCCTCCCACACCCCTGGCTGCTGCAGCCCTTCACGATCCCGCACTGGAAAACAGCTGCTGTCACCTACATCAACCTACGGCCAGACCGGGCCCACAGTGTCCCCAAATGCAGCCCGGGTGCCGGCACAAGTGCCCCCAGGGAGGCTCTGCTGCCCATTCCCACCTGAGAGTTCAGGCTGGGAGCACATCAAGTCCAACTCCTCTGAGGCAACGGTGTGTAAAACGTCCTGCACTCCATGAACTGTGTTGAAACACAGCCCGTGCGGCCACGCGCGCAGATTATCAACACAAAACTAGATCCTGTACTTGCACTGAGAGCTTGAAAAATTCTGTCCTCAGTCAAGTTCACCTAATCTTTAAAACTATAATATTATTTGAAGGCAGAAGGTCCACAGAAACCTGAAACATCAGTATTGCTGCCCACTGGTACCGAAAACCTGGGGACAAACAGTGGATTCAGCTGCGGCCACGCGCGCAGATTATCAACACAAAACTAGATCCTGTACTTGCACTGAGAGCTTGAAAAATTCTGTCCTCAGTCAAGTTCACCTAATCTTTAAAACTATAATATTATTTGAAGGCAGAAGGTCCACAGAAACCTGAAACATCAGTATTGCTGCCCACTGGTACCGAAAACCTGGGGACAAACAGTGGATTCAGCAGGGCGGCTCCCCTAGCTGATCACCTCTTACTTAACGCACACCACACGCAAAGCGAGAACCTAACACAGTTGCTCCGAGGGACAAAGCATTCCTCTAGGTAAGTTTTTACACAGCTGTTTTAAAATAACACGTGTAACTGGCATCTCTGTGAACTGCCTGGTGAGACTTCTCGGATTCTCATTATTTATCATGCCACGTAACATCTGAAGCTTGTCAAAACGGACGGCAACGGCCACACACCACCCCAGTCCGAAAGGCACCACGTTTCACAACACCTTCCCGCGTTCTCCCACCACAGCAGCTCTTACACGTCGGTGCCCACACACGCAATTCCCCGGCACAGAAAGTTCTCAGCTCACCATTCAGAGTGATCTCAAACGCCCCCGTGGACATACACTGGTTCTCAATCATGTTGCTCAGGAAGAAGACCATCATACAAGCGTAAACCTGCAAGAGAAGGGAGAGAATCGCCCGGGCGTCAGCCGTGGGAGGCACAGCTCGTTCAATTCACTAAGCACTGGAGGTTTAAGGGAGCCTCTGAATTCCTCTCTGCAGTTTATCAGGTCACCTTCCACTTGCACAGACATTTCCTTCTGCCCTCGCTTAAGACAGACTGTGCACGCCGCCCTCCCGCGCCGGCACCACAACAGCTCTGAGCCCACCCTGCAGCAGCACCCGACCCCTTGAACTCCCCAGGGTGCGTCAGGGGCTCACTGGGGACAGAGACCCCCTGTGTTGGGTACCTCCACCTCGGGACCTGCCGCCCACTACAATGTACAACGGGTAGGAAACTTGCAAATTGTTTTCGTTTAGCAGAATAAATCTGGAACAAGGTTACCACAACCACAACCTCAACCGTGAGCATGGTCAGTACTGACTCTCAGGACACCCATCCCACGAGGCACAGCCCGCCACGGCCCAGCACGCTCTGCAAACGCACCCACAAAACTCCCGCTTGATTTCTCTAAACATCTTCTACCCGCTTGCCGAATCTATTCATGAAAGCAACAACTGCAAATAGGTATGAGGCAACAGAAAAGAGAAGCTGTAATTTTAACACCGGTGAGACTGGCTTCAAACTCTACTCTTGAGCCCCAAAACCCACCAAAATATTTTATCATTTTTATGAGTAGCCTTAACCTGAGCTGTCCCTCTGCAGCATCATCACCCTGGAAAGAGAGATGCTGAAAATCAGAACTGGGCCTGTCAAAAACGTGAAGAACTACAATTTATTATTAATTACGCTACTGTAAAACTCTCAGGTATATTTAGTTGTGGAAGCCCAAGGGTTCTGCTAAGGCTGCAGCGAGTGAAAAGCGAAACCCGTAAGAACTGGGAAGCACTCCCAGAGCACCCTTGAGAAGTCATTCCAAATTCAAAGCAGCAGAAGAAAGGTGCTGCTTACCTTGTTTTCTTGGCCCCACTGCCAGATGCTCGGAGCTTGCATGCCGAAGAACGCAAAGGGATCCTTGCCAACGATTATTAAGCCTATTAACACTAGTTTGAAGACAGACAGGAAGGATGCGATGTGCCTGTCAAAAGACAACACGCACAAGTGACTGAGAAGGTTCAGTCACTACCTTCAACACTGGAGAGCTGGAATTTACGTCGCTAGAAGAATTCTGATCGCCTACCAGCGTTCAGAGTGTTTCACAGAAAAAAAACTTTTCAGGTAAGCTTATCTTGCTGTAAAAAACAACAACACACACAACTCCAATAAAACAAAAAAGCAACACACCACCACCAGCAGTCTCCCGCACAGAACACCATTCCTGTACACCACGCAAACGTTTTGGGTTTTTTTTATCCTGAACAGACCTCAGACAGAAATTTCCCTTCAATCTACAAGTGTCTGAGCTAGATAACGCATTCAGTTTCTTAAAGGAGTTGTTCTATATTACAGAGACACAATTAACTGACATGCACTACTTCCTCGTAAAGCGTTTGCCCAGCAGATGCAGAAGACCCAACATTTTTTTGGTAAGAATTAAACCTACAGCCAGAGCACAAATTAACGCTGAGGTATTCCATCTTACAGCATTCTCATCCTTGTAATTCCTACCGTAATTAGGTCA